GTTCCAGTGTCTTTTATGACTGTGGTCATAAATGATGTTGGAATTTACTATTTTGTGAAATAGTTGGTATCCCTTTACTACTATAATTAATTTTTGTCATTCCAGGAAATCTTTGTGAAGCCAGCCAATTAATAAAGCACTTTAGTATCTGTTCAGGTAGTTTTGAAAACCAACTTTTCCCCTTCAGGATAAGAACTTCCAGGTTACCTAAAAATGCAATAAAAATCTTTATAATCTAAGCTTCTTGGCACATAATTTTTCATCAGGGTTTTTCTTTTATTAAATGAGCACAATAATATTTTTATTTTTATTTTTATTTTCTTTTTTTGCCATAACCACCTAGCTCCTTGTTTAGTTTTTAATTGTATAGATATATGAAAGAAGTGGCTAAGACATTTGCTGCACACACTTGAACTGTTGGGTCAGTAGCTTTGTGTTACTGCCCTGACCCCAGTGTAATTCAGGGGGAAAGGTATTTTTATCTTACAGGGATATGTAGCTATGTATTTTACTAATTGTGAAACACTGGAAATTAATGATGCAGACAACTTGGTGTAGTCTTTGAACAGCTCTCTGCAGTGTTTTTTTCTGTTACCATAAATTGTATTTAAGTGCTTGCTCTCCTCTGCTTCTAAGTTGTACCAATAAAATCAGTAACCTCAGCCCTCCCTTCCCATTTGACACTCCTTAGCTTAGATTGATGTAGTTGTTTTAGTTATCCCTGTAATGTGACCTTTATTTTTAAGTCATGGTGTACTGCATTTGTTTGTCACTAGTTGGGCATGTGCCAATAATATTTTGTCCATTCCTTAATTGCCATCTCTATTTTGTCTGATTTTTTTCTCTTCAGCTGAATAATGGCTTTTTTTTGCATGAAAAAAAGAAGTTTTTACGATTAGACATGTAAAGGGAAGAGAGAGTGAATGTATTGGACTTTGTAAGCCTAAAAGGAATATTTGGATTTAATAAATAAGGGCTATGTATGATATAGAGTAATCATGTAGTGGAAGATACTTGCCAGTCATAGATTTGTAGGCAGGAGGATCTGTTACTCCCTGTATCTAGGCTGAATGTAAAATCCTTTATGTTGTATTAATGGGGGTAATAACTATTTTTATTTGCTGATGATATACTTGGTTTCTAATAAAGTGTCCTAGGCTCTAGTGAGAACTGTCTACTTTTAATTGCCAATTACTCCCTTTCCCCTTTTCCTGATATGCACTTGGCTAGCTTTTTATAGGTTAATGCTTTTTCCTGAAACATCTCACTACTTTAAATGTGTTCATTTGGGTGTGATCCTAAAAAGTCTGCATCAAGAGCACATCTAATATGCAATCTGCATCAGCTCCTAACATCTGGATGACCAGAACTGTTGGAAGATTGTGACGTCTTAAACCCTGGGTTTTGCTTTTGAAATAAGGTTTGAAATATTATTCTTTGCATTAAGATTTGTGTGTGTTTGCTTTGTAAGCCTAGCACCAGGTTTTGAAAATGCCTGTATTGCGAAAGCAAATCCAAACTCTTTCTGAGCCTCTTTCGTTGTCAGAAATAGAATTGCTTTCCATCAGCCTCCAGAAAATTGTGTACCTGGAGTTGAAGAGATTTAACAGCACGAATCCAGATTTTTAAATGTAATTGTTTTTTAAATGCTAATGTTTGTAAAGCACCTTCAGTTCCTTGGATGAAAGGTGCTATATCCTCTCAGTGTAAATTAATAAAAAGATTATAGGAAGTTTGTCAGAAAATTTTATCTAATGCATAGTCTGTAGCATGTCCCGACAAAAAGTTAGCATTTTATATAACACAATTTAAATTAAAAAAAAAATGCTTATTCCTTCACTTGGTTGCTTGACTGGTAAACAGAAATGAAACTTTTTATTGTTCTGCATTTAACTTTGAACTAAGTGTCCCAGTTCTTTATTTTTTTATTTTTTATTTTTTTAAAGAATTTATTTATTCATGAGAGACACAGAGAGAGAGGCAGAGACACAGGCAGAGGGAGAAGCAGGCTCCATCCAGGGAGCCCGACGTGGGACTCGATCCTGGGTCTCCAGGGTCACACCCTGGACCGAAGGCAGGCGCTAAACCGCTGAGCTACCCAGGGATCCCCTTTAAAGGCAATATTCATTATTATGGCCTGGACCGAGTTTCCAGAACCATGCATCATGAGATCATCACAACTCTTTCAATTGTATGTTTATAGTCTGCATTCATGTTCATGAAGTATACAGTAGTAAAATACCAAAAAGCATTTTGGAAAGTCCCGTAGTGTGGTGCCAGACACAGTAGATTCCTGGGGAATGTTTGTTCCTTATTGCCATCTTCTTAATTTTCTATTTCCTTATCAATCAATTGGTGATTGCCTTTCTTACCTTCATGAGAGATTATGTTGGCTTAGATCACTCAAATATTTCCTTTATTCAAACTGCATGAAATTTGTGAAGATTTTTTTTGTATCAACAAAAATACTACATAAGTATATTCCACTCAATCCCTGGACACCCATTATTCTCAGCACTCTGCTTTTGTGTATAAACGGAAATGAGATATAAAAGGCTACATAGAGGCATTATGGAATAGTATGAAGAATATAGGCTCTGGAATCAGATCTAGGTAAGAAACCCAGCCCTGGCAGGCAGTAATAGCCAACTTAGCCAAATGCTATACATGCCTTATTTTGTGTTTACCATGATCCTAAGACTGTATTACCTCCCGGCCCTCCTTCAGAGGAAGAAACATTTAGGATAGGTAACTTTGCAGGTTGCATAGGAGGGCTGGAACTTGAACCTCTTTAAGGGCATACAAGAGTACATCTTAAGCCCTCTTAAGTAATATTGGCTATTGTAGCTGTGTGACCCTGCTCAAGTTGGGTTCTCCAGATTTTAAAATTCTGTATCTAAGTATCATACAGGGTTGATCAAGATTAAAAATAGCACACAAAGTACTTGGCCCCTGGCCCAAAACTGCCATTTATTGAGGGCTCATTTTAATATATCCATTTGCCTGAATTAAATGTAGATGGGAAGTAAGAATAATCTAAGGCAATATATAATTGCTGATAGTGTAGTTTATGAAAGTACAATGAATTAGAAGAAAGATATAGAATGGAGCAATTGGGAGAGGCTTAAAAGAAAGTGAAAAATGTGGGCTAGAATGATGAGATGTACGTTTCTTACATATTAAAAACAAGCAGAGATTACTAGAACTTGCATGTGACACGAAGATAGGACTTGAGGTTGCCTCTTAGGAAGGCATAAGAAATCAAAGCAACAGCTGTTTTGACAGAACCATGTATCAGAGAGGAGTTGACCAATTGTGAAAGATGTTGAACACACAGGATTTTAATCCCTATTTTTAAGAAATGTAATGAGTGATATTTCAAGATTAGTCTTCTAGTGAGTTGATAGTCCTCCCCACCAGGACTCCTACCTGCCACACTCTTGTCTGACAAATTATGCTGATTCCCCCTCCTTTCTGGTTTGGTTGAGATTGAGGCTCTCCATAATTTGGTGATTTGGGGATTACATAAAGAATTAGGGGAGCCAACAGATGTTTGGCAACATTTTTTGTCTTGTCAAAGCCATTTAAAACCCACTACAATTTACCATCATTACTTCGTAGAAGGTGTATCATTTTTAATATGAAAGATGTTAAAAGAGCCATCTCAGAATAAAGGACAGTCCTCTTTGCCAAAAAAAAAAAAAAATCAGTTTTGCGAAAAGCTAGTATCCTAGTTTCTGCCTTTGTGAGGGTGAGATTTGATCCCAACCTGCTGGTGTAATCTACTCTAGGCTGTCATATTAATAATGCACAAAAACATTTTATAATAAAAAGGAAATAGCAAAAGAAAGTTTTATGCCTCCCACCAGTTCCAAATAGATGCCAAGGATCTACCAAAAACAACAAAGCCTGTTCACATGAAGTGTAGAGAGACTGTAGAGGACATTAATGGCAGAGTTTTATATGTTAATGAGCTATGTCTTATTTTTAAGGATGGCCTTATTAAAGTATAAGAGGAACGGTAACTAATACTGTGCATAGATGCTGGTAGTCTTGCATGTTTAGGTCTATTAAAAATGCAGTGAAATTTATTTTTAAATTGATCGGCATTGAACTTACAATCATCTGCAGTATCACAGGATGGCTAGCACACCCTCAAGGATCAATTCTACTTAGTCCTTCCAAAATGGAACAAACACATTGCTTTTAGTTATGGCATCAGTACTGTTTGCAGTGATGATTTTTTTCTTTCATGGTAATTCTTTAAATCTCTTGCTTTCTTGGAAGCCTGCACACAAGCTTGTGATCTTTCCTGCAGAGGGCTGAGCATCTGAAACATGCTTTATTTCGGTAGATTCTTGCAGTTTTCTTGCTGGATTCTCTATGAACGGATATCTGTGAGCAGTGAGACCATTTCAGCATGATGTAGTCAGGGACCGCATCGAAGTGGTTCAAAATGAGGCTCGTTTTGGAGAGTTCCCTCACTGTCGCACCTGCCAGAGGAGTTTGGGAAATTGCAGTGCTTGGCTGTTGGTCCTGGCGTGGTGCAGCGTTGGTGGGCGCCAGCATGTGTGTGGAATGCGGGACGCAGAGCCAGGAGAACCTGCCGGCAGGTGTCTGGCGCTGAGATGATGCAGTTTTTACTTTCCAGCGCACGGTGGCGCTGAGGTCGCCCCGGCCCTGCTAGCAGCACTACGGCACCTCCGCTGCCACCTGCAGTCTCAACCAAACTCTAGGTGGCGGGACGTGACGGCCCGAGCGCCCAATCGACAGCCAGACTTTCGGCCACACTACAGCTCTAGCCAATGGGAGCCGGGGAGAGGCGCGGAGGGGGCGGGCCCCGCGGCATGTCAGGCAGAGGCGCGAGGCCCTCCTCCCGCCTCTCCGCCTACTCCAGCCTCCGCCGCCTCAGCTTCCCGAGCGAGCCCTGCGGCCGCCGGAGCAGCTCCCGCGGCGGAGCCGGAGCCGGAGCCGGATGGTCAGAGGAGCCCGGCAGCCCCAGCAGCCGCGGAGTCGCCTGGCCCCCAGGTGGGGCGGACGCTGGGTCGGGGTCGGGGTTGGGGATGGGTGGGGGCGCGGGAGCGGGCCCAGGGCAGCGGCTTGGGGCCGCGGGAGGGGCGGGGGGGTTCAGGCTGAGGGGGGGGGCTCGGGGGACGTCCAGGGGCGGGGACGCGGGCTGGGCAGCGATCGCATCCTCGAGGCCGGATGAGAGGGGTGTGTGAGGGAAGGGACGCCGGGGGGTGAGGCTGGGGGCGCCGGGCCGGGAGGGGCAGGGCGTGCGCGCCCCGTGGACGGGCCGTGGAATGCGGGGGGCGCGGGGCCTGGAGGGGCGGGGCTCGGCGGGGCAGTGCGCGCCCGGGAGGGGGTGGGGGTGGGGGTGGGGGTGGGCGCGGGAGGGGAGAGGCCGGAGGGGCTTGCGGGGGTGACGAGGCAAACAATGAGTAGGTGGAGGTGGGTGGTTTTGGGGAGCGGGGCTGTGACGAATAGGGGCTGAGGACAGAGTGAGGGACTGGAAGGGAGGGCAGGGTTTGGGCAAAGAAGACGTCGGGGGAACCGCGAGTCCGAGGATTGCTTGGTCTTGGTAGATAGGGGGAACCGAGCTTAAGGCGTTTGTAAGGTCAGGTATGAGCTTGGCGAGCCTGTGGTCCTAGAGGGTGGTACACTGAGTTTTCGACGGGCACAGTAGGGCCGGGAGATGTGTTCTTGTGTGTTACTTTTAGTTACCATCCTTTTTGGTTTGTAGACTGACTGGCACAGTGGAGAAACCACCTCGAAAACGGAAAAGCAGGTAAGGAAAAATGCGTCCCTATTTTGCTTCATGTTTTTCCATTTGCTTGCTTACATCTGTGCCGTACTGCACGGTTACACAGTCAGTAGATGAAGTTTTTTCTTTAGCTCCTTTTGTACCGAATATAACTACATGCAGGATCCTTCTTTTGAGGAGTTCAGAGTACTACCTGTATCATCTGCGTGTGTGTGCGTGCATGTGTATGTAAGATTATATGGGAAACAGACGTGGGTAATTGAGAAATCCTAGTTTTTTCACTTGCGCTCTAATTTCAACTTCTCCACTAGCTCTGTTTAAAGCTAGTGTTTGTGGGGGGCACCTAACTGGCTCATTTGGTGGAGTATGACTCTTGATCTCAAGGTTGTGAGTTCGAGCCCCACGTTGAGTGTAGAGGTATTGAAAAATAAAATCTTAAAAAAAAAAAAAAAAAGGAGGAGGAACGCCTAGGTGGCTCAGTGGTTGAGCATCTGCCTTCACACAGGTGGTGATCCTGGGGTCCCTGGATGGAGTCTCGCAGTGAGCTCACCATGGGGAGCCTGCTTCTCCCTCCTGTCTATGTCTCTGCCTCTCTCTCTGTGTCTCTCATGAATAAATAAATAAAATCCTAAGAAAAAAACCCAACTAAACGAATGTTTGGGGCATCTGGCTGGCTTACTTGGTAGAGAGCGTGCGACTCTTGATCTCAGGCTGGTGGGTTGGATCCCTGCCCTGGGCATAGAACTTACTTTAAAAAGCAAAATAAATTAAAAAGGTAATGTTTATTGAACATCTACTAAGTGCCAAGTACTATGTGCAAGTGCTTTATATGTATTTTGTAATCTCGAAGCACCCCAGGGAAGCATGTACTGTTACCATTATTATGCGGAAGAGAGAACTGAGGCACAGAGAGGCCAAGATCACTCCTTTGATAAATAATAGAACTCCTATCTGAATTCAGGCAATCTGACTCCAGAGCTTAGGCTCTTACCCATTATATTATAATGACTCTGATAAATATACAATTGAAAATATATTTTCTTACTACTTTTTCTTTTTTCATCATACGTAGTACATAGAGTCTAATAAACAAATCATGGGGAAATAGAAACAGAGGGCTGAAGTAGTCTGCAAACAAATGAATTATTACTTGAGTGATAAAGAAGAGCATATTTCCATCCCACAAACATTTTTGTGTGCATTCTGCATGTTAGACACTATATAGCAATTCTTTGTGGTCATGAGATTTCTTTTTCACAGATGTAGGCAGTGGTCTAGAGAGAAATTACTTTCTCTGCAGTAGGGAGGATGTGACCAGTAGGACCACTGTCGTAGTTGGTACTTGGTAAGTTACTGATGTGAGTAGGCAGACTGCCTCACCAGTAAATAGATAGAAAATGCTGATGACGCAAGTCAAAGTTTCTTTGTCACTCTGGGTTGTACTTTTCTTTTTTAATTTTTTTTAAAGATTTTATTTATTTATTCACGAGAGACACAGAGAAAGAGGGGCAGAGACACAGACAGAGGGAGAAGCAGGCTCCATGCAGGAAGCCTGACGTGGGACTCGATCCCGGGTCTCCAGGATCACGCCCTGGGCGGAAGGCGGCGCCAAACTGCTGAGCCCCCCTGGGCTGCCCATGTACTGTTGAATATAGTAACCATATATGGCCATAAAGTGCTTGAAATGTGACTGGCATGGCTGAGGAACTGAACTTTATTAATTGTAATTAAGTTAAATTCAAAAACTGATACTTACTGGGAAATGTTCAGATATGTTTGGAAAAATTGGCATATGTGAATCTACTTTTTCATCTGTAAGTTTTATGAACTCTATATATAGATCATATATTTCTGGTGAAAATTTAATGTCCAAAACAAGATGTGCTTTAACTAAAAAAAATATCAGATTTCCAGTTAGTATACAAAAAGAGTGTAAAATTTCTTATTACTAATTTTCGTATTGATTATAAAATGAAATCATATTTTAGATCTATTGGATTAAATAAAAGTATTACTAAAGTTATTTTTAACTGTTTTCCTTTTTACTTTTCTAACATGACTATTCAGAAATTAAACTAAACATTATATATGTGGCTTACATTACATTTTTTTTTGGACAGATTTTAACTCTCATTAACCCACTGCCAGTCTCTTGCTGTGGCCTCCTGACTTCATTCTCTACCTCAAATCTGTAATTCATTCATCATGCTGTGCAAGTTGATCTTGTAATTCTCTTGCTTAAATCTTTCCATGGTTCCCCATTGCTTATTGAACATAATTCAGACTTTTTAGCCTAATGATAAAAAGAGACTGCTTTTGGAGTGTCTAGGTGAGTCAGTTGCTTGAGCATCAACTTTTGATTTCAGGTCGGTTCCTATGGAATCAAGCCCCTGCATTGGGCTCTGTGCTGAGCATTGAGCTTCTTGGAATTCTCTTTCTCTTTCTCCTTCTGCCCCTTCTCTCTCTCTCTCTCTCTCTCACTCTCTTTCTCTCTTACCATTCTCTCCCCCCCTCCCCCAGGAGATTGCCTTTATTTCACTTCTGCCTGTCTTCCCACTTCCCAGCCACAGTTTAATACTGTGGCCCTGGAAATTCTCAATAATGGACCTATTAAATGTCCAGTATTAAATGATTTAACTTTCTGGTGAATCCTGCGCAATGAATTAATTGCTGAATGTAACTCTATGTTCTGTTTGCCATTCCTAGAACTTATGTTCTCTCTTTGCTTTGGATTTTTGCACATGATTTCTCTTTCTCTCTGGAATACTTTCTCCTTGTTCCTTGGCAAGCTCCTTCCTTTGAGATTCTTAGCTCAAATGTCACATCCTGTGTGTGGACTTTCCCACTCTCTCCTTCACCTTATTTGCTCCCATGATAGCTTGTACATACACCTAGGTATAGTGGTTTGGACTGTCTTTGAATCTGAACTCTGTCAAATACAAGCTGTGAGATCATATGTAAGTTAATAAACCTCCTTGAACCTCCATTCCCTCAGGTGTACATGGAAATAATAACAGTTCAACCCTGGGGTGCCTGGCTGGCTCAGTTAGTAGATCATACAACTGTTGATCTCAGGGTTATGAGTTCAAGCCCATGTTGGGTGTAGGGCTTACCTAAAAAAATTTTTTTGAGGGGGCACCTGGGTGGCTCAGTGGTTGAGCATCTGCCTTTGGCTCAGGTCACGATTCTGCGATCCTGGGATGGAGTCCTGTATCAGGCTCCCGGCAAGAGCCTGCTTTCTCCCTCTGTCTATGTCTCTGCCTCTCTCTCTGTGTCTCTCATGAATAAATAAAATCTTTTTTTTTAGAAAAGACAAATTTTATGTTAATAAAGCAACCATCAAGTACTGTTTATTTCCCTCCTCTTTTCTAAATGATTAAAAAATAAGGTACTAAGGTAAAGAAGAAATGAGAGAATAATAATAAACCAGTGGCAAAGTTAATATATAGATTAGAAAATACTGTATAGTTACTAAAGATGGGTTCCATATTTGGCTCTGAATTTCCTCAAATAAAGCAAAGAAGAAAATAAAGCTCAGCTTCTAGATTCATGTGTTCATAAAATCAAACATATGTTGTTTAAGAGAAGGATACTTTTTTTTTGATTGGTAGATCTGAGAGAAACTTTTCTTACTGGTCTTCATGGTGGGGACACTGGTTTTGTGGAGGAGGAAATCTCTATAATAATCATAGTAGTGAGTTTTTAATCATTGCTTCTTATAATGCTTCTCAGTCAAGGTTCATGTAATGCCAGTAAACATTCTCCAAAGGGGCAAATCAGTGTGTAAGTATACAGCTCATTGTTGGCTTGGTTTGGTTCAGAGATAAGCAGGGGTGAATAAGTTGGAGGGATTCTGTTTATTCCCAGCATCTAGCCTAGTCCCTGGCACTTCTTAGAAAACGGTTGGGGATCCCTGAGTGGCGCAGCGGTTTGGCGCCTGCCTTTGGCCCAGGGCGCAATCCTGGAGACCCGGGATTGAATCCCATATCGGGCTCCCGGTGCATGGAGCCTGCTTTTCCCTCTGCCTGTGTCTCTGCCTCTCTCTCTCTCTCTCTCTCTCTGTGACTATCATAAATAAATAAATTTAAAAAAAAATAAAAAATAATAAAACAAAGATTTAAAAAAAAAAGAAAACAGTTGGTTGAATTTTTGAATACAGGCACTCTTAATCTTAAGGACTTCTCTATGAATGTTCTTTTTTTTTAATTAAAAAAGGTTTTTTTGTTGTCTTTTTTTTCTTTTAAACTTATTTATTTATGATACTCACAGAGAGAGAGAGAGAGAGAGAGAGAGGCAGAGACATAGACAGAGGGAGAAGCAGGCTCCATGCACCGGGAACCCGATATGGGATTCGATCCCGGGTCTCCAGGATCGCGCCCTGAGCCAAAGGCAGGCGCCAAACCGCTGTGCCACCCAGGGATCCCTTGTTGTCTTTTTTAAAAAATTAATTAATTTATTAACTAATTTATAATTTCATACCCACTGTGGGGCTCAAATTTATAATCTCAAGATTAAGAGTCATGTGCTCTTCTCACTGAGCCAGCCAGGCACCCCTAAAACTATTTTCTTAATAATACTAAGGCTTTACTTGCCTTTTAATTATTCGCTCTCATTCACAGTGGAATTTTCTGAGGCTACAGTTGAGAATGATTTCACTTCTGCTCTGATGGCTAATGGAATGTGTTTCTGTATTACTGTGTTTAAAATTTTTGCTCTACAATCTAATATAAATATCGATGGATATACCCACAGAGATAGTTTTTTAAAAAAATATTGTATTTATTTATTCACAAGACACAGAGAGGCAGAGAAAAGGCAGAGGGAAAAGCAGGCTCCCTCTGGGGAGCGTAAGGCGGGATTGGATCCCAGGACCCTGGAATCACGCCCTGAGCTGAAGGCAGATGCTCAACCACTCAGCCACCCAGGTGCCCCACAAAGATAGTTTTCAAAGACTGTCAAGGGGCTCCTGCAACCAAAAAGTTTGGGAGCTGTATGAGAGAATATATCGTAAGAAAGATTAAATA